AAAAAATAGTTTTTTCAATGATGTAAAATGATGAATTATTTTCAATGTCATATAAGAATCGTTATCAATATATTTATTTTTGACTTTTATGGAACAAAAACCTTTCGAATGAATTCTTAGCTATTTTTATAATTGATTTATCATTTGGAAATTTGTCTTTTTCGAAGTGTTTCGAAGGAATCTCATACCTTTGATGCATTATTCTAGCACTTATATCACAAAAACTCTACACTTATGACATTAATATGTCATCCATGAAAATGTTGAGTGTTTTTAAGAATAATGAGTGAGTGAGATGGAACGTATAAACATGTTCCTCACTTCAATATCAATAATCTCCGTAAACACTTATTTCAAGAGCATGTTGAACTTGATTTCAATGTTCAACAACATCATTTGTGTTCATATGTTACATTACGTAAATCAAAATATGATTGTTATACAATAGAAAAAAAAACAAAAATAACAGTATTGAATTTTATTATTAAATGAGCTGTGTGATTTTCGTCAGAGAAAAATATGTACAATATAAGCTATACAAAAAGAGAAGTTTATGACAGATCAGTACATATATATGTCTAAATTAAAATTACTCTTCCGAAAAAACTTTCTGTAATACATAATTGAATTTTTATATCATCTTCGTAATCATCAACTCAATTTTTTTTTACTATTGATTCGGCTTATATAAATGGTAAAAACTGTATAGTATTAATTGATACAAATTTAATGTATCCAATTGATTCGTCTATTAATTTTTATCAAAATTCTCATTGATAAACAAAAATATTAGTAGAAAAGTAAAAGAAAAAAAATTCTAATAAAGAAAACTAATTCAATGAGATAAATCTTTTAATATTCAATGAACGCATCTACTAAATCCTTAAAGCATTTAGATATGAGCTAACAAGAAGAGCTCATCAGATTCACACCCCTCTGTTATCTTCTGTATTACAATTAAATATTAAATAAAACAAAATATAGATAAAGAAGAAAAATAAAAAGATTGCTTTAGAGCAAAAGCAACAAAATGATTCATTCGATTCATTCTCAAAAAAAATTACACGCACAACTTTCAACAGTATTTATCAGGTCATAATTATACAAAAATTACAAGTTTAAAATCTCTAATTGAAATGTATTTTTTCCTGTAAACGAACTTTCTCAATTATTCTATTCTAGCAGTAAAAAGGTCAAGCATTGTTCCTATTTCATAAGTAAAAAGCAAAACAACTAGAATGTTTTATTCAAACTGATATTTTTGTTACTAATAAATTGTCTATATCCATGTTGAAGAACAACAATGTAGTGTCAGACTCAACAAGATATATAAAGAGGTTAATATTAAAACAAAATTCACTGAAATACTGATAAAGAATTCGTCTATTTGTGGACTTTATCAAAAGACTCGTTGTTTAACTTTACAAAAAATCTTTTATTAAAAGTCTTTTTATTAGTAGAAATTTCTCAGAAAAATTATAAGGACGATATCATTTACTCGAAAGAGGTTTGCAATTTTCTTTAAATCTCTTCTATGTCTCATAGATTCACTTATACTTTTAAGCATCACAAAAAACCATGTATGTATGTCTAATGAGAAAAAAAAGTGTGATTCATTAATTTATTTATTATTACTACTGAGATTTCTTTTATAGACTCAAATAATTAATCTATACATAATTTTATTTATGAAAATTCTGAGATATTTTTCAATGAACTCACAATAAAATTCTATATCTCACAAATACTCGATAAAAATATCAATTATCTTTAGAAAATCACAGAAAACGAATATTCGTCAGAATATGTATTTATCCTTAACGAGAAAATATTCCAATAAGTTATTCAGCATGTTTTCTTTTTTCTTTTTTTAGTGTAACGCCTCACTCTACACCTATAATCGAAATACAGAATACACCGACTACTGTATGATGGGAGATCTGAATAAAAACAAAATATACAATTTCTCAAGCAACTATAGTTTAATCATTTTCTAATAAAAAACCAACATCGAATTTTTTATAGAAACTTAAATATCTACACTGAAAACAAAATGAAATTGTTGTATATGTCGAATAATTTTTATACAAGAGAAATATAATGAGAAATACATGAAGACATTCATTAAATGCTCTACTGCTATCATTATTGTCTCTCTTAGAAAATACTTCATTTCATTCTAATTAAATGACATTACTTCATAGAGAGTACTTTGTCAGGTAACTAAAAACAGTTACCACTTTCATTTCTACAATGTCAAAATACTCATTAATAATTCAATTAAGAAAGTGGAACATGTAAAGGCAATAACATTCACTATATCTAAACGAAAAATGCCTCTTTTTTTGTACTAATACTTTGTCTGATATATAGTTTCGTATAAAAATCTAGAAATAATATTACTTTTACATTACAGTTGTTTGTTCAAAATGTTTATAATGATGAATTTTGTTTTCATCGATAAATCTTGAAAATTTAAAGAGTACAAATATGATATAGTCTATCATCAGGAGACTATTTTGAGATGAATTCATAGCTGTTTATATATTCATTACTATATCGATGAATATGATAGTATAAGTGAATACATATCATTCATAGTTTCTTATGTACAAGTTGATACATTCTGGGCGAAAATTAGATAAATCCTGAGAAGCACTATATTCCAATGAAAATAAAATTCAATAACGATGAAAATCACTTGAAATGAAAGAAATTCATCAATCTTAAATGTGTAGAAATTTTAATTTTTGCACAACTAACATTTCTTTAAAGAAAAGCCGAAAAACTATACGTGAAAAAAGTTCACGCAAAAATTTCTCAGAAATTTCTCAAATACATATATATTGAAGATAATGAAGACGTCCAATAAAAAATATATTGTTCAGTAGAGAGACAAACGCTATCTTATTCTATATAATTTAGACATGTACATATTTCAGACATTCTTAAAATAAAGATCACATTTTGTAAAAACAAAACACACCTATTTTTTAAGTTACTCGAGTTGATGAATTCTCTTGTTTTGTATTCTTATTTGAAGATGAGCAATGTGAAGGAGAAAGACAACACCCTATATATATATGTAACATGAAAATTTTTTTTCGTCGACGATGACATGATATAGATGTATGTCAGACGAGAAAAAAAAATCATCAAATCAATTAAAACAGAAGTAGAATGATTGATAAAAAATCAATCAAAATTTTGAACATCGGTCAATTAATCTCAGGGTATATAAAAACATGAATACATCATTATGAAACAGTATACACTCGAGTTGTATTATTATAATGCATTACAATGTATTTATATACCCGAGATTATTATTTATTATTACTATTATATTATTTACAATGATAATTATATTATTAAATTCTATATGAGGTAAATAATAAATTCATTATATATTTAATAATACTTTTTTTTTCTTTTTTTTTAGATGAGATTCGATACTATACAATATTGAGAAGTAAGAAAAAAAATTTTTTTACATATTCAGTTGAGTTGAGTTGAAGTAAGTTATTTTGAGAAAAAATAAATACTATCTGTTATTATGAGTATGAGTACTTTTGAGATGAGATGAGTTGAGTTATGAGTGTGGGTCAGAGAACTACGTTGTCTGATTCAATAGGGAGAGGAACTTTCGTGCCATAGCGAAGCAGTGTAGTGCTAGGGATGGCCTCTATGTGTCGTCGGTTCCTACCGTCCATACGGCATATCTTCGGCCATTGCCCTACCAGTCCGGCGTTGTCCGCCTGAGGTACCTATGGCATTAACAAGGGATCTCTCCCTTGTCCCGCGCGCGCGGGTAAGCCAAAATGAACCAAGAAAAATCGAAACGATTAGCAATGTGAATAAATTTATTGAACAAGCGAAAAGAAAAAATTACAGTTACATTTTCTTTTTTACATAGTCAATTGAGTTTGTGACCATTATAATATAAGGATGGTTAGGTGGAAGTGATTTTTGCAAGATAGAAAGTGCCTTTTCTAAGAATGAGAGTGCTTTCGTGTAGTCACCCATGTTGTCATACACGAGACCGACGTTGTTGTAGGAATTAGCCAAATCGGGATGATTCGAAGGCAGAGCTTTTTCTCTTATTTTAAGTGCTTTTTCGTAAAATTCAAGTGCTTTCGAGTAGTCACCCATGTTGTTATACACTTGACCGATGTTGTTGTAAGACGTAGCCAATGAGGGATGATTCGGAGGCAGAGCTTTTTCTTTTATTTTATGTGATTTTTCGTAAAATTCAAGTGCTTTCGAGTAGTCACCCATGTTCTTATACACTTGACCGATGTTGTTGTAGGAAGTAGCCAATAAGGGATGATTCGGAGGCAGAGCTTTTTTCGCGATTTCGACATCTTTTTCGTAAAATTCAAGTGCTTTCGAGTAGTCACCCATGTTGTTATACACTTGACCGATATTGTTGTAGGAAGAAGCCAATAAAGGATGATCTTCCGGGACACTTTTCCGATAGATTTTGAGGGATTTCTCGAGAAATGACGCTGCCTCTGTGTATTCTCCTCGGTCCTGTTTCACCCATGCAAGCTCGTTATAGATATATGCTTTATCACTGTCGCTGGATGTCTGTTCTAGTAGTGCTGTATATAATTCTTCGGCCTTGTCAAATTGACTTATTTTGAGCAGCAATCTACCCATTCGATACCATCCAGTGCTGCCCGATGTTTCTTGTCGTATATGATTGGTTAATTGACGAAGTTGTTGGTCATCATCCGACGTAAGTTTAAGGTCCACTTGATAAAGTGGACTTTTCTTGTCCAGTTTTCGAACTTCATCAATTCGAAAAACGGTGTGCATGGAGAAGAGAATTTCCTTTTCACCCTTGTAATAACTCACTTCCTCGATGGAGGCGAAAGGAGTCGATGAGATTGTGGGATCGATGGTCATTTGGAAGAGGATGCCGACCATATCGGTTGTTTCTAATGCATCTTTGGCGAAACCGAGGGAAACATCTCGTTTTGTACTGGTGGATAAAAAGTTGTTGAAAGATATGAGACTGCCTTTGTTTTTTGCAAGTTTTTCGAAGTCACTTGTCGATAATCCTTGACCCCTATAAACTAGAAAGGACTTTCCATGATATTGACTGACCTGTTGGCTGTGTAATTCTTCAATTTGTCGATGAACATCACACAGGAAAAATCCCATTCGGATGATAATGTCACCGTCGAGTGTTCGTAATGCTCGATTGAGCATTTTGTAGGTGAAGCATTGGCGTGTATACCACCATAAGGCCAATGTTGGATGATAATTACGTTGAAATTCATTGATTAATTTGAGTTCTTTGGTATTGCCTTCGTATTGTTCTTGGCAATATGTGACCAAGTCTTTAATGGCTTTTTGGTCATGTTCCATGTCAAGGAGTATTTCCTTGAATATTTGAGTATACATGAAGGAAGGCTCTAGCTGATTGAGATTTTCGCTAGAACCTCCTTCACTAGCACTAATAATACTAATAGTCACCTGGTCTTGATCACATTGTTTTATAGCCATTCTCAGTTTTTCACAGATGTGCTTGATTGATGTATGCACACCTTTAATTTTGGGCCAGTTTTTAGCCCATTCTTGGTGACGTTGCTTGTTGCCACAAAAGATATATATGGCATCCAGTTTTGGCATGCCATGAATTTCTGGTACCAGGTGTTGTCCTAATGCACCTGAAGAGATGACAAATGATGTCTCCTCATTAGATCCAACGACAGACAAATAGTGAAAGAGTGTCTAATAATCAAGAAAAGATGATGACGTCATGTGAATTGCCCCTTGTTTTCCTGGAGTTTCTGGATACATTGGTCGGCCGTGGTGCACGGATTAACTTCATTAACAACGCCGCGCAATTGCGCGAGTGTATTCTGGCAATCTTCATTTCCCATGTTGATATTGCCGTCGACCCAGATGACCAGGTAATTTTCAGCCATTCGTAGTCGTCGTTGTCTGTTCATTTTCGATATTGTCTTTGACGTTTGCTCGACGATTGAATATTGTGAAGGACCAATTGTTGTTTGGATAGAGACCACTGTTTTCTATTTATATATTCGATATTGGATGTTTTTTTTCTAGATTATTCTACGACGTCAAATATGAAATATAATATATATAAGTAAATGAACGACTTAATATTGAAATATAAGACTTTTTTTATTTTAACAGCAGCGAAAATGTTTTTGCAATTGACAATATCAGCTAAGAAAGACTATCGAAAATGACAGAATTTACTTTTGCAGAAAAACTGCAAAAGTAAATTCTATATAGTCTATCTTTATGATGGAACCAACTGATATTGTGCAATTACGTCGGCACTGTTACATAGTGATACATACAACACGACCATTGAATGTTTTTCGTTCTTCGTATAGTATACGTATAGGCTGTTTATAACTAGCAAACTATTGTTTTTTTTTACTATACGATGACATCATTATATATTCTTTTTCTTTTTATCTTCGATCTATTCGAGATACATTGAAAATAATCCTTTACTTAGTATCGAAATGCGTCCACATGTGCTGCCATAGTTGTTTTGAAATATAATATATATAAGTAAATGAACGACTTAATATTGAAATATAAAACTTTTTTTATTTTAACAGCAGCGAAAATGTTTTGTAATTGACAATATCAGCTAAGAAAGACTATCGAAAATGACAGAACTCACATTTGCAAGTTATTTTCGATCTATCTCGTTTAGATCGAAGAAAAAAAGAAAAGAATGTATAATGATGTCATCGTATAGTAAAAAACAATAGTTCGCTAGTTATAAACAGCCTATATGTATACTATGCGATGAGGGTGTGGGTGTGGGTGTGAGTCTTCTCTTCGGCAAGCACGCCCACGTCCACCGACAACCACACCCCAGTCACATCCACACCCTCATTTTACTTGGTTTATCACATATGACAAGGGATTCAGTGAAAAATTAACTTTCGTACACATGCAAGTCTTATGACCTATATATTAGGCTTAAGGTTGCAGTCAAAACAAATGCTTCTGTCGTGAAATATTGATTTTTCCATAGAAGTCG